GCCTATTATCAATTGTATGTGACTCAGGCATTCTCCATTGTTGGACACTGCTAGCCACTTGAAACTTTCTAATCCTTTGTTTCCATAACAATGCTGTCTTTATTTTTTCCTCCCTGTCTACCTGGTGCCTAACAATCTGTTTCAGAAGTTCTTACTCATGTAACCAAGTACACTCTGTGGATGTCCTCCAGTAACCTATTCTTGATTGTCTTCTTATTCTATACATTATCCCTGCAATGTCTCATCTAACCCTCCCAGTTTCAACTACCATTGACTGGTAACTCTCAAAAGTATTTTTATGATTCCCAACTTTTCTTCTAAGCCTCCGATCATGTCTAGTTGCCCATTATAATGTATTAGCATATCCTTCAAGCATCTCAAAGTTGGTATGTTTGACCCTGAACTCCTTCTTTTCTCCCTTCCTTCCAAACCACTCCCTTCTGAATGTGGATCCATCTCAACCTTCTCAAGCCTTAATTCCAAATCTTTATAAATAGTGTCATTATCCATTCAGTTTTATAAACTAGAAATTCTAAAATCTGCCTCAACTTGTTTGTCCCTTAACGATTTATTCTTCCTCATCTGGATAGTCCCCAAATTCTTTATATCTTAAAAAAAAAAAGTTTTTCATATGCAAACTTCTCTCCCATTCCCACACCTCCACACCTGCTGTTTTAATCCTTTCCTTGCTATCATTTCCCTGGCTTTCCTGCCACTGGTATAGTCTATACAAAGCCACCAAATTGTATGTCAAAATTAAATCCTAATCACATCATGATTCTGCTTTAAAATGTCCCATGGTTCATTATGCCCACAGGACAAAATGCATCTTCTTGGCATAGGACCTTCCACAATCTGGAATCCCAACCCCAGTCCAACCTACTCTACAGCTTTCCACTCGGCTCATCTCCCTTCCACTGCTTTCTGTTCACGCACACTCCAGCTACACTAAGCTCCTCACGTTCCCCACACAGGCCATGCTATTTCACATGATTCCCACGGCCTGGAATGTGCTTCAGGTCAATTCCAGAAATGCTTATTTGAGCATCTACTATGTACTGGACACTGTTCTAAACCTCAAAAACAAAAATAAGAAGATAAAGATCCCCCTGTCATTTCAATTGACTATCTACAAATTTAATTGGAAAATCAATTTTGGGGACAAATGTAACATTATATTATATTTCTATATATAGATAACAATGATAAAAGTATTCAGAAAATCTAAGATGGGTAGTGCTGATGATATAAACATATTTGTAGATTAAAAAAAACTGTAAATTGAGGCCACATTCTCTTGCAGTGGCATATATCTGATCCTTCCACAGTAAAAAGTGTCTAATGTAACCAACATTCTACCAACTGGCTAGCTAAATGGGACAACATCAGCACAGTGCTTGGTCAACTTTGTTTTCTGTTGAGTCTGCGCAAAGCCCTTTTTTTGTTTCATGATCTCCTTAGAAAACCAGGATATTTGAGTTAACAAATTTTCTGGGTAAATTATCTTATCCACCTGATGTAAAGAACATTATGAAGTGTATGTTTTGTGATAAGCACTTACATTTTTCACAAGGGGTATATTCTTATATCTCTTCCCTAAATACTGACATCATCCATTCCTTTCTCCCTCCCAAACCTCCAACTGTAACAAAGATACATCTTATACCTTTAAAACACAATAAATCTAATTTTGCATATTATTGTGATTAGTTTTTTCCCAATAAATATGAGAAGAAAAAGAAAAAGACTCTTCTTTCAGTGATTCAGAGCCTAGTTCTAAGGACCACAGGTATATTAACAAATAAAAACAATGAATTGTGATACACAAAAATTAGAAATATATACAAAGAACAGAGGCAGCATAGAGGAGAGAGTGGATAACTGGAGGAGCAGGACAAGAAAACATGTCAGGATCTGGATGGACAAGATGGGAAAAGCATCGCAGGCAAGGCCAAGGGCACCCAGGGTCCACGAGTCAGTGAGAGTTTCACCATCACACAGAAACATGAAACACAATGGGGTGAACTGTATACCTAAAAATGACTAAGATGATAAATTTTATGGTGTTTAATCACAATTAACTATGATTTTTTTTGAAAGCACAATGAGTAAAGCCAGAATGAGCAGCTTCCTACCTTCCCCACCTTTTCAACTCAGACAAAACTCCTTTTTTGTCTGTTAGATCTGGTTCATGATCCAACACCCCTCTCTGTGTGTCCTCAGGATTCCCTCTGATGGCTTGGCTGTGCTCCCACAGCGCCTTAAGCGTACCTCTATTTAGAACATCACAGCGTATGGAAGTTCTAGCATAGTTTTCTGCTTCCCCCACAAGACCATGAGTTCCTTGGGAGCTAGCACCATACCTCACACAAATACAGATACCATACCTCTATAAGAATCTCTTTTGCACTAATTAGTTAATTTACTACTGATAAACTCTATTTGCCAGACACCACACTACCAGCTGTGTATACCTGTTCTTCTTTCTTACAGCTTTATGAAGATAGACATATTTTTATTTTCATTTTTACAGACAAGGAAATGGGATGGGAGGCTAGGTGATTTGCCAAAGGTCATACAGTTGGATAGTGGGGAAATGAAGACAAGCTGACATTTTAATAACAAAATAACTAGTAAATGAAGTTCCAAAGATATGGCAGAGAATTGACCTATTCCATATCAGACACCATGTTATATGCCTTGCTGATGCAGTTTCATTTAAAAGAACTTCAACCTAGCTGGGCATGGTGGCACAGGCCTGTAATCTCAGCAGCTCTGGAGGCTGAGGCAGGAGGATTTTGAGTTCAAAGCCAGTCTCAGCAAAAGTGAGGTGCTAAACAACTAAGTGAGATCCTGTCTCTAAACAAATACAAAATAGGACTGGGGATGTGGCTAAGTGGTCTAGTGCCCCTGAGTTCATCCCTGGTACCAAAAAATAAAACTTCAACGTCATGAAATCTCCATAAGATGTAACTATCACAGTAAAGAAACCAATGTTCATGAGGCAGAGTGGTGCACACATGCAATTCAAGAGACTCAGGAGGCTGATACAGGAGGATCTCAATTTCAAAGCCAGCCTCAGCAACTTGGTGAGACCCTGTCTCAAAATAAAAAAAAAATAAAAATAATTTTTTTTTAAAGAGCTAAAGGTGTGGTTTGATGGTTAAGTACCTCTGGGTTCAATCTCTGGAAACAAAAAAAAGAAACCAAGTTTCAGGACAGTTAAATTTTTTGACTAAAATCACAGACTAGTGGGCAGCAGCATCATTAGCTGCAATCCCTCCCAGCATTTCTCATTTGATCTTTGGAGGAAGGAGTGAAAAAATGAAAATAAAGAGATTTTTAAGGTAAAGTAAAGATCATCTAGAGGACCTTGTTAATGCACCAGAATCATCAGACTAAGTGGGAAGAGTGAATGGAATATTAAAGAAAAAAATAGATGGGGGTTCTGGGGGCTGGAGTTGTGGCTCAGTGGTGTAGCACTTGCCTCTCACAAGTGAGGAGGCACTGGGTTCAATCCTCAGCACCACATAAAAATAAAATAAATAAAATAAAGGTATTGTGTCCATGTAACAACTAAAAAAAATCAAAACTAGGTAAAATTGAGTAGAGTTGATGAGTATCACTTAGGGGACCCACCTGAAGTTAAGGTACATGAATTTGTGATGAACTCAATAAGCACAGAGATAGATATTTTATTTATATACGTGTGTGTGTGTGTGTGTGTATTATTTCTGCTATCCCAGCAAAAAAGAAATACTGTGGATTGTCAATCTGTGAGCAGAAGGTAATTCTGGGAGTAGGAGAGGGTTGAGGAGAAGGATTTGCAGAATTGTCTGAATACAGATTTTACTCTGAGGAGCTAGATTTAACCCCACCCAGGTTAAACCCAACTTTCCTCCATCACCAAACCCAAACCTTCTCTGCTATGAGTCTGGACAACTCACCTATTTTATCTGGTGACACTGTAAATTCATGTCTACTAACCTTGAAGGCCTTACTGCCTGCTGCCTGACAACTAATTATACTTCACTTCCTAAGTCTCTCACTCTCCCACTCTTCATATTTCCATCATCTCTCTCACCTGATGGTGACCTTGCTTCCTACTTTATCCCAAAACCAAGCCATCAGAAGAAAAGTCCCACCAGCTGCCACCCCTGTGATTATGTGCTCTGCCTTCCACCTGTGTCTGTGAACTGATCATGCTCCTACCTGAGACCAGCACCTCTTCTACTTCAGATCCTGTCCCTCCTTCTCTACTCAAGCATCCCTCCAACAATTCTCCCATCTCTCTTTTCGTTATCAGTTTTCCCCTTTCTACTGGATCATTCCCATCAATGTCAAACATCACATATGCTGTGATTTCTCCCATTTTAAAACAAAACAAACAAAATCCTACTCTTCCACTTGAGTTTGTATCCCTACCCAGCTTTAGATACCACCTTATTTCTGTGCCAAAAGATCTGTTATCATGCTCAGAATCCTCCATTCCCATTCTCTTCTGAGTCCTCTTTAATTATATTCCTGACTCACTGTTATGCTGAAATGGTTCCTATGAAAGATATCAATGGCCTTCATGTTGCTAAATGCAACAATCCATTCCCCTTCCTCATCTTTGATCTATCAGCATTTGACACAGTTGAGGCTTAACTTCGTTTGGCTTCCAAAACATCATATAACTCCTTCTGTATATGATTTGAAATGCTCCTTCTATCTCCTTTGCTGGTTCATCCTCATCACCGCAACTAAACAGCATTCTTATTTAATGACTTCAATTTTAGAATAAATTATGTTCTTTTTGCAGCTGACATGCTTTTCTGATTTTATCTTGCTTAGCTATAATTTAATTAATTCTCATTCTCTGAGCACACACCGACTGACTAAAGGAGGAGTCTCAGAAAGGTGAGGTATAGTGAAGGGAAGCCATTTTGGAATTGCTGAGCCTAATCTACAGATGATCGTCGGTCACTCATCAGTCCTCTGTGTCCTCTTTGTTGTAGTGTGTTCCTGCCATCCAGTTGGATCAGCTATCCTTCCTTTCAGCTCAGTGACCTTCTGTGATCCCAGCAATGGTGACTGCCCTTGCAAGCCTGGGGTGGCAGGGCCACACTGTGACAGGTGTATGGTGGGATACTGGGGCTTCGGAGCCTACGGCTGCAGACCTTGTGACTGCGCGGGAAGCTGCGACCCTCTCACAGGGGACTGCATCAGCAGGTGAATGTGCATGGCACTTGCTCTCATCTATGTGTATTTCAGATTCTTTCAAAGATCTGGTAGTGATCTGGAAAATCTTGGATGCCATTAGCAAAGATATATTTGCACATATATTTAAAGAATTTTGGTCACATTGCAGAGCCAAGTAATTTATTCTTGCAAGACTAGAGATCATCTAGTCCATTTTGCAAGATAAATTATTCTTCACTATACTTTCTTAAAACACTTTTGCATCCTAGAAAGTGAGAGTATGGAAAGACAATGATAAGGTTGGAATCTCTATGTATAGATTCATTTCCACTCAAGTTCTAAAAAATTGCTTCATAAGTTCTTCATTGTTCTCTGTTTTATTAAGCAGCACAGACATAGACTGGTATCATGAAGTTCCTGACTTCCATTCCATGTATAATAAGAGCGAGCCAACCTGGGAGTGGGAGGATGAGCAAGGATTTTCTGCACTTCGACACTCAGGTGAGACAGATATAACTTGATATCATATTTTCAGGTCTGGTCTTGAGTAATCATGAATGTAACAAACCAGGGACAGCTTTTGGATCCTGTGAAGAGAGCTCTTTAGTTTTATGGTTTAATACAGCAATGATTCCCATAGTATGAAACTGAAATTTTTCTGAGAGGTATTTTAACAAACCTGTTTATTTTCTGTTAGGATAACATATCTAGTTAGTACAGAAAATGTGGAAAATGTAAAACATCAGAGTAAATGGGAAAAAATCATCCTAGGTCTCATTATCACACTGTGAAGATTTTGGGGTATTTCCCTCTACAGCCTAATGTTCTACATAGTTAAGGCATAACTGAATAGATCTGGAAATGTACAGATCCATTTAAAGGAAAAAGTATTCTTACAGACTAGTCTAATATGTTCAAAGCAAAAGCTACATGTGAAATCTTTATATTTATAGTCTTTTTACAACTGTAAAACAAAAGTAATTTTACAAGGTAAATATAAGCCAAGTAATAACATAAATAAAATTACTGTTAATTAAATATGAAAAATGATTTTTGTTGTCTATTCTGATTCTTTAAGTTTGTCAAATCTATACTATTTCCTCTGACTTAATTGTCCTATGATATTTTTCCATTCCTTCTTTTCATGAGCTTGCTGTGACATAGGTTTTTTTTTTTCCTGGTTGTAGGATTTCTTTTCTTTTTTTTTTTAATTGATTTTATTTTTTAAATACACGACAGTAGAATGCATTACAATTCTTATTACATATATATATATACCACAATTTTTCATATCTCTGTTTGTATATAAAGTAGGTTGACACCCAATTAGTGTCTTCATACATGTACTTTGGATAATGATGTCCATACTTCCTTTCTGTGTTCATCCTGTCTCAGTCTTCTCTTATAGAAAATCAAGTGATTTTATTTAGCACCAAATTGCTCATTTAACACAGTTTCAAATGTGGACCAGGAAGCCAGTGTGGCTGGAGCAGAGAACGCCAGGAGGATAGTAAAAGAGAGAGAGTGGAGATTATATAGGCAACTGGAAGGATTTGGGCTTTTACCTGGAGTAAGGCCAAAACCTTTGGAGGGGTGTTTTATTTTTAGTTATGGATGAACCTTTATTTATTTTTATTTATTTATATGTGGTGCTGAGGATTGAACCCAGTGCCTCACACATGCTAGGCAAGCACTCTGCCACTGAGCTACAGCCCCAGACCTCTTTAGAGGGTTTCGACCTGTGATATGGCATTTGAGATAACACCAGTTGGCACAGATGATCTTTTCCTTTGTCATATTCAGCATTGTGGATGCAGGCATAAGCAAAAAAATTGGATTTAATCTGGGTTGAGGTTTTTCCAAGCAAGAATGAAGCAACAGAGGGCTATGATTACTCATGGAATACAAGCTGGATAAGAAAGGATATAAGGGTGAAAAGAGGTTGGGTCAAGAGATTGAAGGGTTTCAAAGGATTGTTGGTGCTGGAAGCATGCTAAAGGATAGGATGTAGAGGTCATCTAAGAAGGGGATGCTTGAAATTGAAACTGAGAATGATAATGAAAATGTCTAAGACATGGTCATGGGAGAAGCTGGAGCCATTGTTTGTAATGCCACCTCCTGTATTGTTTCATATATGTATAAATCCATATATTGTCTATCATGTTTCATAAGCCAAGTACCACAATGCCTTGTTACAGCTTTATAAGGAGCCCTGATTCTTGAAACGCCCTCATTTTGTTTTTCTCTCTTGAAAATATTTTAGCTGCTGGTTTGTTGCTTTTTCCTGTGAAATTCCAATTGAGCTTATTAAGCCCTACAAAAATCTCTGTTGAGATTCTGATTGCAATTTCACTGACATTTTTATAATATTAAGGAGATCCCAATGTGAATGTATCTTTCTATGTATTAAGGTCTTCTATAAGGCCTTTCAGTAACATTTTGTCACTTTTCTCCAAAAAGGCTTTGCATATCTTTTATTAAATTTACTCCTAAATATATTTTAGATTTAATTGCTATTGAGAAATTGTTATTTATTTGAACTTACAAAATATTATTAATATTTTGGGTGGTACTAGGGATTGAACTCAGGGGCACTCGACCACTAAGCCGCATCCCCAGCCCTATTTTGTATTTTATTTTGAAACAAGGTCTCACTGAGTTGCTTAGTGCCTCACCATTGCTGAGGTCTTTGAACTCAAAATAGTCCTGCCTCAGCCACCTGAGCTGCTGGGATTATAGGCATGCACTGCCGCACCCAGCCTAAATTATTATTAATGATATAAAGGAGTATCATTTATTTTTTGGATTTTGATCTTGTATCCAACAATCTTAATGAACCTGTTTACTAATCCCAGTGGTTTATAGTTTATCTTGGATGTTTAAATGTAGACCATCATATCACTAGTAAATATGGACAGTTGTCTCACTTTTAGTTTATACACCTCATTTTTTCCCTTGCCTTATTGCACTGGGTAGTGCCTCCAGTATAATATTTTCCCAAATTTGATGCAAACATTTTGAAAATTTCTCCAACATATTTGATGGTGATTTTTGATATGCTGCCTTTATCAGAAAAAGTCATTCTCTTCTGTTCCTAATTTTATTATTAGTGAGTTTTGTATTTGGCTGTCTTTTCTGTATCCTTTGAGAAAACCATATGGTTTTTCTCTTGTAATCTACTAATATGAGGTTTAAAAATAAGATTTTTCCTATACGAATGTGTATTTTGGAGGTGCTTGATCTATCTACAAAGAAAAATTAGGAATTACTTTATTATAAAATGTTCCTAGAAGTCTTAATTGTTTATTTTTTTAAAATACTGTAATGTTAGACTTGTGTGCATGGAAGTAATTAAGATACATCATTATTGTAGTTTAAAAGTTGCATATGATAAGACAGTTTTTGTTTTTACCAAATGGTCTATTCCCCATCCCAAGGCAAGCATGAATAAAATTAGGTTAAATGCAAATTTTAAAAAAAAGATTTTTTCCTATATCAAGCTATTCTTTCGGTCTTAGGATAAGCCCTTTGGTCATGATATATTTTTATTCATACATTGCAGAGTTCAATCTGCAAGGATTTTTTGGTTTTTTAGTTTGTTTATTTGTTTAGAATTTTTCTATGTTTATAATTGATTGTTGGCCTATAACTTATGGTATCATATATCTGGATAAGTTAGAAGATCCTTCTACCATTATTTTTATCTATTATCTGCAATAATTTATATTGAAATACAGTCATGTGTCACTTAATTACAAGGATATGTTGTGAGAAATTGCATTGTTGTGCAAACATCATAAAATGTACTTACGTAAACTAAGATAGCTATGACTTAGTGGTATAATTTTATGGGACCAGCAGAGTGTTTGCAATCCTTCATTGACAGAGACGTCATTATACAGTGCATGACTAGAATTATCTGCTTGAATGTTTGTTAAAACTTATTTACAAAACCATCTTGACATGGTGTTTGTGAGTAGAAGAAAATATTTAATTACTGATTGATTATCTTCAATGGTTATTAATTATTTTAATATTGAGTTGGTTTTAATACTTAAAGTTTTCTATAAAATTATCAATTTTATTTAATTTTAAAAATCTTATTGATGCTGGGCACAGTGGCACATGCCTATAATTCCAGAGACTCAAGAGTTTAATGCAGAGGGATCACAAATTCAAGGCCAGATAGCAACTTTGCAAGACTCCATCTCAAAAACTAAAAAGGGCTGAGAAATACCTATACAAAAACAAAAAATAAAAAAACTTATTGGTATAAAGTTAAACATAGTATTCACTTATAAGTTTTTAACTTTCTACTCAATTTGCAGTTAGTTTTCCTTTTAGTCCTTAACCTTATTTCTGTATTTTGTTCTTATTGTCTTAATTGGCTTTACTGATCTTTTTTTAAATTTTTATGTTATATATGACTACAGAATGCATTACAATTCATATTACACATATAGAGCACAATTTTTCACATTGTACCAAAGTAGAGTCACACCATTCATGTCTTCATATATGTACTTAGGATAGTGATATCCATCTCCTTCCACCTTCTTTCCTACCCTTATGCCCCCTCCTTTCCCCTCCCTCACTTTGTCCTATCTAGAGTTCATCTAATCCTCCCCTGCTCCCCCAACCCCAACCCCATTATGAATCAGCATCCTTGAATCAGAAAAAACATTTGGCATGTGTTTTTTTTGGGATTTGCTAACTTCAGTTGGCATTATATTCTCCAACTCCATCCATTTACCTGTAAATACCATGATTTTATTCTCTTTAAATGCTGAATGATATTCCATTTTGTATATATACCACATTTTCTACTGAAGGGCATCTAGGTTGGTTCCACAGTTTAGCTATTGTGAATTGTCATGCTATAAACATTGATGTGGCTGTGTCCCTGTAGTATGCTGTTTTTAAGTCCTTTGGGTATAGACCAAGGAGTGGGATAGCTAGGTCAAATGGTGGTTCTATTCCCAGTTTTCCAAGAATTCTCCATAATGCTTTCCATATTGGGTACACCAATTTGCAGTTCTACCAGCAATGTATGAGTGTGCCTTTTCCCCGACATCCTCGACAACACTTATTGTTGTTTGTATTCTTGATAGCTGCCATTCTGGAGTGAGATGAAATCTTAGAGTAGTTTTGATTTTCATTTCTCTAATTGCTAGAGATGTTGAACATTTTTTTCATATATTTGTGGTTGATGGTATAACATTACTGATCTTAATTTGCTTTTCAAAGAACAACTTTTGATTAAGTTGACTGAATCTATTTAATTTTTCTTTATTTTACTAATTTCTGATCTTATTGTTTTCTAGCTTTGTTGGTTCAATGATTAACTTATTTATTTTAATAATTTTTTAACAAGCTTTTTTAAGGTTATAAATTTCCTAATAAGCTCTCTTTTGCTGAATCCTACTAGATTTTATAGACAGTGTTTTCATTATGATTCAGTTTTAAATATTCTATAATTCCCATTAAGAATTCCTTGTTAA